CTATCGGTGACATCATTGTTATGTTTGGTATATCTCTCTGTGTAGTATCAGTCGTAGCACAGTTAACCATGTTATGTTTAGCAAACGGGTTCGCTAAGCAATGCCCTTATGTTTACCAGCTGTTCTCTATTTATATTTGTCTATCTCATTTGCATACGATACTACAGGATACTTTGTTATTTTTTTTAACGTTCTTTCACTTGTTTTGGGTTGATTCCATAATGTACTGAAAAACGCGTGTTTGTATGCATAGTGCATGTTTTAATTTTTTATATTGTTAATCAATTTAATCTGAATTTTAATATATGTGCAGAGGCAAGAACTGAAGAAGAATATCATTGAATATACAATGACAGACCATTCTATATTCATATAAGAACTACCAAGAAAAGTAATATATTCTAGAATTTCTGAGATAGATAGATAGAGAGAGAGAGAGTAGTTGAAAAATAACATTTTAAATTTGTGTGTTTTAGATTTTTAAAAATGCTGAAGCATAAACTTGATGTTTAATATCTTGCTAGAAGAAAAAGCTATTCAAACTTGTATGAAATACTGAATAGATCTATTGTTTATTTTAATTAGGATGAATTATCACTCTTTAAATGATTAAAATTGAATAAAGCCGCTTTTGTTTCAGTGCATTGAAATAACTGTTTGTTAATTTGATTTAATTAATTCTACAGTTTTGTAGTGTAAATGAAAAATATATTACAGATAATTTATTAAAATAAAATAAAATTTGATTTACATAATGTGTAAAATGAAAAATAAAAGTTACTGATAAGATAATATGACAAAGTGGTTTCCTCATGTTGAAAGAAAGACAAAACTGTATGTAAGGAAAAATGTCTTGGGTTATAATTCCCACTTATCCTCAGAGATCCTAAGTCATTTTTCCTTACATATAGTTTTGTCTTTTGTTCATTCTAACCTGAGGAAGCCAAAGAGTGCAGACTCTTTTGGTAAAATGCACCACATAAATTTTCCATTATCTCTCATTCACTTCAATTTTGTTTTGGATACTATTACATATCCTACAAACACAGATTTATATGCACACACAATCTGAATGAAATTAAAATGGACATCTGTATTGCAAGAACTAATTTCCCTTTTTGTCTGGTAACAACCCCTAGGTAGCAGGAAAAGAGTATAAGTCAAAATGTATGGTTCTCTGAAGTCATTTTTATGACATCTTCTGTATTCAAACTGAGTATATTTTCTAATAAATTAAGTATTTCAAATGGACAAACAATTTAGCTTTGTAATTTAATCATTTTGCTGTCAGTGAAGTGACTGGTACCAAACTAAAGTAATATAATTTCTTTCATCTACATTATATCGATTTAAGCATTTTTTATTTTTTTTATTTCTATAAATTGGTAAAAAAGCTGAATTATAATTTACTTTTTTTATTTGTAGAAAAAATGTATACTCAAAATATGAGGCTGAGGAAATTCCAAGTTTCATTGGTCACTGTCATTTTTCTTTTTATTTATGAACAATATATTCTCTTTATATATTTCATATTTGACATATGTGAAAGATGTTTTGGACATTAAAATGAAAGATTCCCTTTCCACTTATGGATATACAATGGAATGGGTTCTCAAATGAGTCATATTGTTGTAGTTGTTTTCAGTTCTTTTTATAATATTTTGAAAATGCAAATATAATTTAATGAATATTTGTTATATTTTATGATATAAAATACATTACTGTTTCATTATTAAAATAGTTTAAATATTTACAATAATGTTTATTTTTTTAATACACCACTAAACTGATAATTATTCATATTTGAAATATTGGGATTTAACACTAAATGTCAAATATTGTTCATTTTATTTGTTGTTAAATCACAAAGAAAAGATTAATGTAGGTAAGAAAATTAATCTGATAAGCTCAGGTAAAATGAATTATTCATTCTTATCTGAATTTTTGAATTTCGAAAATTTTAGATTAAATTTGTGATCAGTTTCCTTGTCAGAAAATGCCATTGAAATATTGTACAAAACTAATTTAGCCACAAGGAAGTCTCACAAGGTAAACTTTGTTGGGTATATGTAATGAAATTGATAAATAAAAAGAAAATGCTTTGTTAAATTATATTAAAACATACAGTTGTTTTTATTCAGTAAATATCACAAAGACTTCAAATATAAATTTTAATAATTAGAAAGGATAACACAAACTCTGATCTCATGTATAATGCACATGTTGATTTTTAAACTAAAATCAAAATTCATGTAAATTGAAACAAAATAATACTCCAAAAACTTTAAAGGAAGAAATAAAACTCAATAAAATTTAAATCTCACAAAATTCTACCAAAAAAAATTTGATGCTGAGTTAATGTTTATAAACTTTGAAATCTAATGTAACTATCATCTTCAAACTCAAAATATCTTATTATCATTGCAACATGGCACATAATTCTTTTAATATAATTAAAAGATATACTCTTATGTGTTAAATTTGATTTTTTAAAAAAAATATATTAGAAATTGAAGTAGGGCAATTAAAGAGTGAGATGCCATATTTTGTGTTGGTTGTAATTCATCTTCCTTTAAATTTGGCTCAACATTTGTGAGTTAGCAGTTTATTAAAACAAATTATTTCAAAGAAGAATGAAAAACAATTGTAATTATGCATTTCAAGTTCAAATGAGTTTCAAGTTTTTAATAAATGCAAATAAACTTCAAACTAATTTTATTTTGTTTTACATTTTTACTGCATCTTCAGTTTTCTATTACATTTTACAATTTTGGTAATTAAAAATCATTAAGCTGTTAGAAATAATATCTTAATGCTTTGGATAAAACTGAAATTTATAATGACTGCCCCATGACAAGTGTATGTGCCTAAGAAATGTCTTTAAATAATTTGAATGTTGATACAAAGAGGATTTTTATATGCATTTTACAATTACAATAGAAAAAAAAATGATATTCTGTTGTGGATATTTTTTTGTGAGTCTTGTAAAAGTGAAAATTCAAATGTTTAAAATTTTATAAATTTATGAGTTTTATTATTTATATTATTATTATTTTATTATTATTATATTATTTATATTATTATATCTATTATTTTATTATTATATTATTTATATTATTAAAACTCATTTATTTTATTATTTATAAAATTTATAAATTTTATAAATTTAAAGTATTATTTATATTTCTTTTTGTTGTTAATGTCAAATTATATTTATTATGTATTTATTCATTTCACATCAAATTTAGTTTTATCATTTATTGTCTTATTTCAATTTAAAATTTATTTTATTATTTATATAATTATTGTTATATTGTCAAGTTTGTTTTTATTATTTATATATTTATTTATTTATCAAAATAAATGATAAGACAAAGTCAGGTAAGTATGACGGGTGTCATAGTTTGTCTGGTTTGCAAAGAGACATATGACATCATTCTGATTGGCTAATTACAGACATTTTTCATTGAGTACTGCCTTTAATCTTGTGTTGTATAGTATTTGTCTGAATTTATTGTTGGATTTCACAGAAGGAGATCATAACACACAGTGCCCTTCCAATCCCACTGGATACACAGCATCACCTTCTTTGGATACAGACCCGGAGTGGTTGATGGTGGCTTATTTCATTTTCTCCACATTGTGACAAACAATCTATTTTTATCACCTGTGATCATTCTAACCAAAAAAATGGGCCAGCAAACATGGATCTTCATGTCAGCAAAAAAAAAAAACAAACAAAAAAAAAATCGGAGTGTCAAAAAGACAGTTTTCTCCTTGACACTCTTATTATTTTAACTACCTTCACTAATCAGAAATGTTTATCGTTTTAAAAAGCAATGATTAGAATTGTAATAAAATCTAAACATAAGATGAAAGTGAATTTATACATTTTTTGGTTCTTGAGAATTTGCAACAAAAATAGTAAATGCTATTTATTTATTAGTTTGTTTATTTACACTATTTATTATATTGTTTATTGGAATAGTTGGCAAAACATCAGCTAATTACCAATTGATTTGAACTTTATAAAATGATAAATAATAAGGATTTTTTTATAGTTGGTTCACATGTTATAATTGTTTAGCTAATGTTTATAAATTTATGAATGAAAAATTGTTTTCATATTTATTTCTTTATAAATTGGTGAATGATAAATATTACATTGCATTAGTTTTAACTATTAATTTTTATAATGTTGTAAGTATAAATTTATTCTTTTAAATAAACAATCTAATAAATAAATAGTGTTTAATATTTTTGTTGTAAATTCACAAGAACAAAAAAATGTATAAAATCACTTTCATCATATTTTTAGGATTTATTACAATTTTAATTGTCCCTTTTAAATTAATAAACAATTGCCAAGGAGTAGAGGTAGTTAAAATAATAGCAGAGTCAAAGGAAAAACTGTTCTTTTAACACTGTGTTTTTTGTGGGTAAGAAGGTCCAAGATTGGCCAATGGGCCTTTTTAAATTGTGAGGCATCCAAACATCATAGTGGTTCATGTATCAATGGCTACAGGCCTACTAGAACTTGCTCAGGCTTCCAGATCAAAATTTCCACTTCTGAACCTAGTAAAACTACTTACAAACAATACTCTCAGCTATGGCAACATCTCTATAAATGGCACATACCTTTTTTACTATTTGTACAGTGTTTTCTCTTTCCAGAAATAAAAGACCATCAAATGATGAAAATGCATCTTTTTCCCTTATTCTCACTTTTAACAAAAATATTTAAAATTCACAATCCATACTTGAATCATATAGAAAGCCATGTTGAAATGTCACCTTTCAGGATGTGTATTTTATATCATAAATTTCAGGCATATTTGAAATGAAATTCCATGTTCAAATATCACATGACATGCTAAAAAATGCTATGAACTTTTGTTTCAATGCCATATTTCTTCTCAGAATTCAAAAACTTCAATCCAATTAATAAAAACTTGAATTCAACTGGTAAATAAAACTGATTGGTGTGTGTTCTATTTTAGGTACACACTGGATGTGGGAAGTGACGAGCATGCTTCTGAAGGAGAAAGCTGAGAGGATCCAGGGAGTCAAAGAAGAATTCATGATAGACTTCATTCCAGCTCGAAAATTTTCAGAAATATCTCCACCACGTCTGTTTAATACGCATCTCCAACCTCATTTCCTGCCTGAAACTGTTCTCTCCCAGAACAAAATCATTTTTGTAGTACGCAACCCCAAGGATGTGGTTGTTTCTTTCTATAAGCATTCATATGGAATGCTACTCAGGCAATATAATGGAACATTTCCCAGTTATTTTGAAATGTTTATAGAAAAAAAAAGTAAGTATGATCTTGGTAATTTTGTTTATTTAGGAATATATTTATGTTCATGCTGTGTGGTGGCACTTAAAGAAGATAAGAATTTTCAAATTTTTTCCAAGTGATGATTTTTATTTACTTGTGAGATTTTACTAAAAGAAGCAAACATAAGAAGCAATAGAGAAAAACATGTAAATAGAATGAAGTACCCACATGCAAAGCCACTAAGACATAAGGTGTTACTGGGTGTGAAAGAATTAGAAAATAGAAAACATTTTGAAGAAGTGAGAACAATAAAAGAGTAATCAGGAAGACAGTAGATAACAGTTGACATTGCATTTAAATTTTTGACATGTCAGCTGAGAATTTTAACCTGAGAAGGTATAATGAGTCACTCTCTGGAGGTTAACATCAGCCATGATGATGGAAGGCAGAAAGGGGTCTTTCAGATGATTAACAAAGAGCTATTTAGTTTTAGAGGCATTAAAATTAACAAGCCATTTTTTCCCAGTTAACAACAGGCTTTTTGAGATCAGCCACCAATTTGACCTTATTGAACTGATCACTTAGTGTCCAGACAGGTGTAAATTATTGTTAAATACCAGCTCAAAAAATCAGGTTGAAGTTTCATCTGCCATAACATATTTTATGACAGTTATTTTAAAACAGGTACAAAAAAGTCACTCTTTTAAGCCAATTGGTTCATCAGACGAAATGACCAATAAGAAAGTGACATTCGTAAATGCAAATGGCTGTCGACAAATATTCCCTCCCACCAGCCATTATTCAAAGAGTATAAGGTACAGATTAATAAATCAAATGAAACAGGTACAATTGAACAAATAATCTTGTTACCATTATGATAAATAAAGAGAATGGAGAAGGCAATGAGAAACAACGCCATTAACTTTCTCAAGACTGTATGACAGTTGTTCACAGATAATAAAGAAAAATATGTTGAAAGTCATCACCGCCTACATACTGAAGGTACACAACATTAAAAAAAAAAATTAAAAGCGAAAATAAACGAAAAATGAAGGGAAATTACTCTGTCAATAACATTTAAAGTAACCCGAGTTATCTCCCTTGAAAAAACAGTATTATTCGGTGTGAGTATAAAAATCATTAAATTGTAAATAAGCCTTGTCTTATTTTTCAAGTTAGAGCTTTTTAACTGTATGCTAAATTACATTGAAATCTACATTGGTCTGATTGATGCATAAAACCCACAAGTTGTCCGTTGATTCTTTTAATTTTACTCAACAAGAGAATCAACAGAAACATTTATGGAAACTATATATAAGGCAAGGAATGGGTTAATTTTTTTTTAATTACATTTGATATGTTAATCACTTAACTCAAAATTACAGACAATCTCTTCAGTTACATATATATGTAGGGGTTAGCTAACACACTACTTCACTTATATCAACACAAATGTAACGAGATAAGCAATGACAAGAGAATAACAAAGTTCAAGGCAAAATATGCATTAACAATGACTAGATTATATTTATATACAATAATAAGTACAATATATATATATATATATATATATATATATATATATATATATATATATATATGAGCAGAAACCTTTCTTTTAAACATGCTTCATTGAATATGACAAACAAGGAAAATTTAACTAATTTTTTATTTAGTTTTACGGCATTCTTAAATTTTTCAATTTGGTGGGAGTAAGGGAGTGCAGAAATTATCTGTAGTGTCCATTCTCACAAGTGCTATCAGCCACTTTGTTAGTCATTTTCAAGTGAGTCCGTTTTTGGGTGTTGTTAATTTCTCTTCATGTTTAACTCTATTTGCTTTTGGGTTGTTTTGAATACTAGTAGGAGTGTTTATTCTGAGGTTGGTGTGTTGAATGCAGCTGGAATTCAAGTATGTCTCTTTCTATGGTTTCTAAAAACTTTGAACATCCCATTACCACTGCTAAATAAGGTGAGGTTGATATTGTAAGTGAGATGTTTTATATACATGGCCTCTCTCACTGTAAGATGTCTGTGGTAATTTGATTCATATAGAATTTTTGTTTTTTCAACCAGAAATTTCCTTAAGGGATTTTGTGAACTGTGGGCAGCTAGATGTTGTTCTAAAAAAAAAATTATTTAAATTTTCCTTGTCTGTCATATTCAATGGAATATATATATATATATATATATATATATATATATGGCTATCAAATAAATTGATGAATAGGAAACATTCGGTCATTAATCTTAATTTTGTTTCATTTCACAGAAAACCCATAAACATCTTGGCCAGTTCTTGTTGTCAATATTTCTGCAGTAAAAAGTAACAAAACTTAACTCTTTTTAGACTATCTGGAAAATTTTTTCATTTACCAAAAGAATTTGGGGACATTGCTTGAAGAATTTTGAAAATATTTTATTATTCTGAAAAGAAAAAATTATTTAATTTTTCTAATTCAGTACAATTCTTGCCAAAACAATTTTCTTATGTAGTTTGTTTGTATTTAGATCCCACTACATACCATTAACTTGTCATGGTCAATCTGAGTGATTTAGTTACAATTAAATTTAAGTTTGAATGTTAACAATTACTTACACTGATTAATTTATTATTTATATTCTGACTGTTTTAACAAACTTAACATGTCACATAATAACTTTTACAATTAATTTTTAGTCACATTTGGAGATTATTTTGAATACATGAATAAATGGTGGCAAGTTATCAAAGATAATCCAAACTGCTTGGTTGTCAGCTATGAAGAAGCATCACAGGTAAGCAAACAATGCACACACAAAAAATTATATATTTATGTGAGTTATAGACATAAAATAGAAAAAAATCATTTCTATTTAAAAATATATTTTTATGGATTAAATAGTAAGGAACTCCGTTTAAACTTTACCTTAGTTTGAAATTTATAAAATATGGACTCTGAACATGACTTTTCTGTAAATAGTTATATAAATAAGTAAAAGAAATACCTTTTCTCATTATTTAAATGAAATAATTTAGTACTTAAAACAAAACATTGATCTTAAAATTTAAAAGATTTTAAGCTTGCATTGCACCAAGAATAACTAACATAGCTTATTATATTTGTAAGGTATTTCTGAATCCTTTTTTTTTTGAATGTGTTGTATTCCACATGATTAACTTGCTTTGTCCATTTATATACCTATTTCTATTGCTAACAATCATTAAGAGGCAACTAAACTTGTAGGATACATAATGAGGAAAGAAAGTTTAGAGAATTTAATACTCACGGTATATTGAAAGCAAGAAAAGTTGGGGGAGCAAATAATATACTTGACATGGATAACAGAACAAGGATCAAAGAAACAAAAAATGGTAATAAAGAGGCAAAAGGTATATAGAGAAACAAAGTGGAAGATGTGGAGAATCATAATTTACCAATATCTGAATTGACATAGGATATAAAAGAAGAGGATATTGTTTGCACGTAAGTGGACTTCTCTTTTATTCTGATACAAATAATTTTCACCTGAAGACAAGAAATCTATTCTCCCAGACAAAACTGATGTAGACTGTGATTTCAATATTTACAATATTGACTGAGAAAGCCAAGTGTTCTTTGAATCTTTTACTGTATTTAGCTTCTGTTGGTACACAAATTAAATACCTTACCTAATTTCCTTTAAGTAATTTCTAATACTGCTGATCCAGGTCATTAAAGATTTGAATGAAGAAAACCCCCAAAACATAAAATTGAAATTCCGTTTTTCTGTTCATATAAAAAAATATGAACTGAGAATGAAATTAGGTTCAAATGTTTGAAGACTGTATTTTTTCTGTTTCATAATCTATATATCTAGACACCATCATATTTATTAACAGAATTCTTAGAACCTTCATAGTACCTCCTTTGCAGTTTAGGAAAGGAATATAAATTAATTCATATATTTTCAATGTAATGCAAAAACAACAAATCTTGTTATTCTGTCCATTTATTTAGTTACAGATTAAGATATTCTTAATGAACGAAACCTGTCAAAATATTATCTTGTATTCTTCATGTGTGTTTGCACATAATTAAAATTGTTTTCAAGTGCAGTGCTATAAATAATCAAGAGTGGTCTATTCTTGTTTTGGTACTCTCCTCTTTGAAAGAGCTATTTCTGTTTACTGGGACTATAAAAGGACACTATATGTGAACCTTGTATTCTCAGTTTAATAAAGCTTTCTTAAAGCCTACACCTGTATACTTTTGTCATTACATGCAGTATGAATTTCAAAATAATTCTAACTTGGAGACCAGGAATCTATTCTCCAAGTTAATATCACTCCATTACATTGAAATGAATCCATCAGAGTACATACTGATTTAAATATCTACAACATTGACAGAGAAAGCCAAGTGTTCTTTTTTTAATCTTTTACTGTATTTTGCATATGTTGGCATGCAAATTAAATACAATAAGTAAATGCATCATTATCTTTTAAGAAATTCCTAATACTGTTCATTAACGCTCCAGTCCATTAACGATTTGAAGGAAGAAAAAAAAGTCTTTTTTATTTTTTAAATGTATGAAAAAACTGCCCTGTGCCTAATACAGCCATATTATGGATGAGAGAAGACCAAGTGCTATATTGGAAGGCTAGGGCAGTCGGATAAGCTTGAGTCCTCTAGTCATAAAAATTGTTACTAGTAATAAAATATTGAAAAGAAGCCAAATCCTCAGTCTGTTGACACAAACTTACTTCAAATTGCTTCTAGTAAGTCGGCAGTTCAGAAGAAAGCTCAAATCATCTCACTACCTCCTAACCTAGCATGCATAACCTACACATCATATATGGTATGTGATTAACAATTGTGTTACCTTTAACTTCCTTAAGAGAAACATTTGTTTATTACCATATCTAGAATGGAAAATGGTATTAGAAACATGAAAGTAATTTTAACTAACTTCAGCCACCTTTCAACTATTTGCAATGAGTTGATGACAACAAAGGTGGAAGTGTTCCCAAACTTCTAGGTTCAAATTATTGTATCATCAAAGGCAAAATTATCATTATCATTATTATTATTTAATTTAGTTTTCTTTGAAGGTTAAAGTTACAACATATGGTTTCATATTTCATTCCAGTCGACTCTTACAATATTGTACTTGTAGGCACAAAAATTATACATGTTCCCCTTAAAAACCACATTAACGTATATTTCAATAAATATATGATGAAGCATATTAAAAAATTTTTCCACAAAGTATCCTTGTAAAATAGGGAGCAGGCATCTTATGTGGGTGTGTGTGTGTGTGTTATCTGAAGGCGAATAAAGTAGGTTTAAACATTGGAAGACGTTTTTCTGTTCTATAATCTACCTATCTTGACACCTTAATATTATTTCATAGGATTTTTGGAACTTTTGTGGTGTTTTCTTTGCTGTATAGGAAAAGGATATAAATTAATTCATCTACTTTCAGTATAGTGCAAAAAAGATAAATCCTGTTATTTTGCCCACTTATTTAGTTACAGATAAAGCTTCTTAATGAATCCAAACTTTAAACAACAAAAAAAAATCTACAAATCAGGTGAAACAAAGTATTTTTAAGATAATGAATTTAGAGATTGTTTGTGTCAGTTGGGGAACAGTTCAGAAGCAAAGAAAATACAAAATTCAGAGTGTTTATCTTTATTTTGTATTAATGCTCTTTAGAAAGGCATGAATCCATTTCATCCTGTACACTGTCCTAACTAACCAATGAAGATTGTTATGAATTAAAAGGTTTCTTTCTTCTGTTTAGAATTTACTGAAGACTGTGAATAAAATAGGACATTTTTTGGGCAAACCACCCAGCCCTGAACTGGCTGCAGGCATTACAGAATTGTGCACTTTTGATAGAATGAAAAAAGAAAAAGTTTCTACCATGGATAATCAAAACCAGGATGAATTCTGGAAACCAAATTACTCATTCTATCGGAAAGGTAAGATTCTATGTGATTTTTTTTTTCAATCATATTCTGAAAATGTTTGATTTTATTAATGTTATATTTTGTCTTTCAACAAGTATTCTTCTTATTCTTGAAATTGATTTTCTTACATTTGATAATGTTAGTTGTTTCGATCATCTTCAATCATATCTTCATCTTGTTTTTGCCTGTCTCCAAAATGCTTCTTTTTTTTTTATCAATCAAAATGTGAACTTTTATAAACACATACTTTCTATATTGCTTCCATAATTTCCAAGTTGTATGACAAAAAGAAACACAATTTTAAAAGTAGCCTCAAACACACACAGAAGAACAGCTTTGATATAGCTTTTAATTTCTCTTGGTTAGTACATCTTAGAATGTTTAGAAAGTAATTATGTTTTACCAGAAAGGTTATAAAAACAAATGTAAGTTAAATTTATTTGCATATTATTTCTGAAAAATGTAATCACCTTCATTTTCAACAACTGTATCCTAACAGGAAGGAAAATCTTTGATTCTCCTGAAAAAAAAATGTTTCAAAAAGAGTTTTCAACTTCTTTGTTTCTGGCTGTTCTACCATTTATAAAATGTTCAAGTAATCAAAGCAAATAAAAATTTCTGAATATGAAAGATGTGATGAAAGAACTTCCCATTCTAATCATCTTATTTTTCCTTGGGCTTCTTTTGCAGTGTGTGACCTTACATTGTCATGCTAAAGAAGAACCCTTTTTTTGTTTACCAAATCTGGACACGTTTGACGGAATGTTTTCTTTAACCAACCAAATTTCAATAAATATCTGGACTCTACTTAAAATAAATAGACAGGTTCGTGCATAAAAAACAAAAAAAAAATGAGAAAAAGGTGTGGAAAATAATTTTTGTAGAATAGTATCTTTCTTAGGCTGAAACACTTGCCCCAATTCAATAATATTGATTCGTTATTGATTTAGGAGGGGGTACTCTTTATATTATCGATACAGTGTCAAATTGATCCCTGACTTTGAAGAGTTATTGTCCTTTGGCTGAGTCATTTGTGTTATTTACAAATGGCAAGTTTCAAAATGAGCTAACAACATTGATATATGCTTATTTTTTCATTTTTAAAATTTTAAATTTTTTTTCAATTATTCTTTTCTTTTTAACCTTTTTTCTGTATGGATTTTTTTCGGAAGTAAATGCACAAACCTTTGAGGTTCATAATTATTTATCTTAAATGAAGAAGAGAAAAGAAAGTGTTGGAGCAGAAGTGGCAGTTGTATTTAGCTACTTCAACAGTAAACGAGTGGGAACTAGATGCCAGTAGTCCGAGCACCGGGGGAAAAATAGTCAGACAATTTTCCATGAAAATATTTGTAGAAAAAGTAGAAGGAAGCCACGTCATGTTGGTGAAAAAGTGACTGAAGTCGAAATGCCTGGTCAGGATCGATTACATTACAGAACCTTCTTTGGATTTTGTCAAGAACATCGAAATGATAGCAAGAGCACCAGACCAGATGTGGCAGCAGTATTCAATGGTAGATTCGTAGATGAGCAAGATGAATACCGATAAGAAAAATCTTCTGGCACGACACAGTGACCCAACTATCCTTGCAGTAGATGCATCTATTAATTCAATGTCCTCACTCCACTTCAAGTCAGTTGAAAACGTGAGGCCAAGAAGGTGCAGTGTATTGCTCTAGGAATCTAGACTCAGCCATGCTGATAACAGCTGATAACAACTGATAACAGTTTATCTATGGTTGTTAAATGAGAGAAGTTTTGTTTTGGAGTTGTTAAAATTTACAGTAAATGGTAGTGTCATCTGCATAAATACCAACTTGGGAACCGATGACATCAGGAAGATCATTGATGAAGATCAGAAACAGCGTAGGGCCCAGGATAGAGCCTTGGGGGACATCCGCGTTTGTGTGAAAGGATCTGGAAGTGATCCCATTCAAAACGACCTTCATTTCACGATTTAATAGGAATGTTTAGATTAAATCAAAGAATCGTCTTGTAATACCATAACCATGGCGCTTGAGTAGAAGGCCAGCGTACCAAATTCTGTCAAACACCTTCGAGGTATCTAGAGTCACAGCTCGAGCTTTGCCGTTATTATCAAGTGCTTGATATAAATATTCAGTGATAACCATTAACATATTAGCGGTAGATCTGGCAAAACAGAGGCCATATTGTTTGTAAAAAGTAGGTCATGAGAAGTAAGATGCTTAACCAATTCAGCATTGATTAGAGACTTGAATAATTTGCCGAAAAGCAGTAAGAGTCTAATAGGGCAATAATTTGAGGGATTAGTAGGTTCTTCAGGGTTCTTAAAAACAGGAACGACAGAGGAAGATTCCCAACAAAGCAGGAAGCAGCGAGGGAAATGTTGTAGAGTTTGGAGAGTACTGGAATCATTTCGGGGGCACATTTCTTTAGGACGACAGCTGGGATCCCATCACCTCTGCTTGCCTTGCGGGAATCTAGTTTGGAAATGATGTCTGAAATCAGTGATGGGGTCATGCGCACATCACTCAGTAGGGCCCCCGTTCTAGGCGGAAATCAAGTGTGGGTACTCCAGATGAGTCGACTGTGGAGTTGGAAGAGAACTTCAGAGCAAAGCATTCAACCTTATCTGCTATAGATGTCAGGACTTCAAATTGATTGAATAGAAGAGGTATTGAGGATTTTCTGTTGTTCAACACACTCTGGCAGAGCCGCCAATAATCTCTAGAACCAAACTTCTGAGAGACTATACGTTGTTTCGTTCTATCAGCAAACAGTAACTTCGCTTACACTCATTATGGACAGAGACAGAGACAGAGACGTCTCTTCCAATCAAACATGTTGCTTTGGTACAGTCGGAAGAAGTGATTCCAGTGGGCTATAGTGGCCGAACATGCAGATAAGAACCAAGGAGATAAACGTGGTTTAACTTGGTATTCCTGTGTTGGAACGAAAGCATCGATACCGGCTTTTGCCTAGGAGGAGATTTCAGAAGCCAATCTTTGAACAGGATGGTTAAAAACTTTATTTCAAGGAACGTCACGAAGAAAGTTACGGAACGAATCCTAATCAGCTTGTTGATAAAAGAAAGATACTCTGGTGGTAGGATATTCTTGACTGGTGGACGAGCGGAAAGAGATGTTTACAGACGCTACCGTATAGTTAGTCCGGGGGGGGGGGCGCAGCTGCAGGGTACGATATGGGTCAGGGATAGAGGTAAAGAAGAGATGAAGAAGAGAACCGTGTCCATCAGGTTTAGTTGGGGAAAGGCGTGGTGGTCATTAAAATCACTCAACATAAATATATTTGCAAACGGGTCTATATTATCAATAATACCATCTAGCATACAACAGTCATGAGAGAAAGGGGAACGGTAGATTGAGTTTAGTCGAGATAGACGGATGCACATGTAAGAATGTTCTGGAGATTCAAGGAAGAGTTCCCTAGCCAGCGGGACATGTTTGCGAGCATAAACTCCCAGGCCATGCATGTGGACAGTAGAGTCATTCCTAATGAGAGGAAGATAGCCAGGAATCGAGAATTCAGAGGAGGGGATTGCAGAGTTAAGATTAGTTTCGCAGAGAGCTAGGATATCCCGATATTGTTGGAAGAGGACGATTCTACACCGTAGAAGTTGGTACGAATACCGCTGAATGTTGGAGAAAGAAAAGTTGAGGGGTTTAGGTGTTTAGGTGTTGTTTTTTTTTGAGTTAGTTTAGTTCTATTTTCATTGGTTGCTTATCGTCATAATGTTTTATTTGGATAAGGAAAAGGCCGGGTAGAGTAGTAGCAGACGGTTGTGCGGTCTGGAAACTGGCGCAGACTGCAACATGGTGTGATCTCAGGGTTGCCCAACGAAGGTGCTTGCAGGGACACCTTTCCATGCGCAACACGGCACTGCCAGAACTCTGATACTACGCGAATGTTGATCAGATCAGCCTCTCTAGACGCTACGTAAGAGTTTGGTCTCCTAAGTACCAGTCGGAAAGCAGCAACCAGAAAACTACTAATCTACTACTCTCAGTATGAAGAGACGTAGCAACCATACACATATCACAAAAACTCATGACAGCACTACTGTTAAGGCCTCAGAAGAGGAAATGAACTCTTTTCTAAACAGAAAACAAGGGATGACCCTCTACACCTGTTCAAGATAATGGGGAAACGTATGGACTCGGCGATAGGAAGGCCTATCTACTCCTATAAAAAAGGAAAAAGTTTACTAAATTTGAAGTTACTTAACTTAGTTAAAGTCAAGATATCCATTAAAAATTCAACAAGGAATTAAAAATGACACATACCCCTGAAAGATCTTTCAAAACAGTCCTGAGTTTGACTTTCCAGTTAAGTTGATTCTTAGAATGCTAACTTATTTGGAGAGTCGATCATCGAACTACAGAACTATTTAACCGTGCGATGTTTAACTAACATTAGTTTATTTTGGGGGTAGGGGGGAGTAGTAATCTATCCCTAGAGTCATGGAAGTTAAACAGAAGAAATTATAGAAATTTTGGGTGTTTTTGTGTCAGGTACCGATTTTCGTCAAAAGTGCTTACTGTCAATTTTAACTTTAGTAGTTCCGACCCTACAAGACAATAGCGCAAAGAAAAACTTCAGCCTATCCAATGTTTTATTACAGTCCTTGAATATCCTGTTGCTATGTACCACTTGTATCTACTGTTGGGTTGTTATTTTATAAAGGTCCCCTACCTCAAAGAGCGACCAAACATATGAAAACGAGGTACTAAAGAAAAATGAAAAGAGAGGTACCAAAATACGTTTTTTACATTTTTATTAACTGTAACAATGCAAAACAACAATAAAACATAACATAAACATTGTACTTGCAATAGGTGATGGTTGTACTCTAAAATATGACAACCTTTAAGTTAAAGTGAGGTCTTCGGTTATCATCTAGGAATATCTTTTGTTCCCCATTGGTGTGATTCTGGACGTTGGTCGCGGCACATTTTTCTCTAACCCTTTCTCGGGTCCAGAGTAGTTATCTAACTGTGCTAAGGGCATTAATTCACTTCGGTTGTCCTCTAATTGTGACAAGGGCGCTAACTCAACTCAGTCATCTGCTCGTTAGGCGAATGAGGTTCTCTCTAATACTATACAATACCACCAAGTGTCTATGTTTTAAAACGAATGAATTATTAAATATATTCCCTGAACTTGACATGATGCTACAAACAATACCAAGACTGTCTATTTCTTGACATTTATTTACTCTTTTTTTCCAGGCAAAGTGGCCACATGGAAAGAATGGTTGACTGTGGCCCAAAGTGAGAGAATAGATGCTCGTGTGAAAACAGAACTTGCAGATTGTGGCATTCCAATTGTATATTCTTTTTGAAGAATGACTTAGCCTTTTTACCTCCTCTTTTTCTATAATCCAGAAATGATTTTGGAAAATCAGTATTTAAGGGGGAATTAGTTTCATATAACGACTGAGATATGGACTTTTTTTTTGTTTTGTTTTTTATAAATTTCCAATATTGATTTGAAATTTATTTGTTAAGAAATTGTTTTCAAAATTGTTTGACTTTATTGTTTCGAAATTTGAAAGAAATATTTTTCTGATATCTTCTTTATATCCCATAAATCATATGCATGTATATTCAAAATGGACCATTATAAAATTATTTAACGAAAGAAATATATTTTATATCTCGTTATCTTATGCATTGAATTGAAGGTTTCACATTTTCTTTGTGAACTTTTCTGTCAGTAGGCAAAACAGTATTATTGCCCATTTGTTAATCAGTTTGTCAAGCAAACACATTTTTATTTTCAGAACAATTAGTGAAGTATAGTCGTAATATGTATGTAGACATGTAAAAAGAAAGAAAAGAAAAATACATATTCTTGATTTTTTAAATAAAATGCTAAAATCTTATAAACTTAATGGCGTAGACGCTTTCTTTATTAACTATGTTTTTTCTCAAAAGAACTGATCCCATTTGAATTTTTTGTTTACATTTATAAGAAACTATTATAGTTGGTTAGCCAATCTGTATTGGTTATAAATACAAATAAAACTGACCCTCTACTATTTTTACTATATCAAATGTCACCTTTCAGAAAGGTGGTTGCATCTTTGTTTTTCTGTTTTCTTGTATTGTTTTCTCTTTTTGTAATTTTCAAAATCCTTGTTTTTAACCAAACTGTATTTTTTTTTTTTTACATTTTTCGATTGTAATCCTTTTATCAGAAATTGTTATCCTGCCTTAATAGGCACACTAAAGGAAATGTTTGTACAAATTTTGTATTTGTACCTTTTTCGTACATTTGTAATAAATGTTTTTCTTTTAAAATTTTACGGAGTGGTTAAGTCTTATTTTGTGATTTGCGCCTATTATAACTTGCTATTCTTATTAACTAGGTTTCTGTGTTTGACACAGGAACTTAGATTTGATAAGGAATAAATTTTTTATATTTTGCGCAAAAAGACAAATGTGGTCTTTGTGTAATTTTAAAAATTAAAAAAAAATAGTGCCTACTGTTTCTCAAACAAATGAATTCGTATAAATAACTCTCCTAAAACTAAAGTATGCCATTTATAATTAAATTTATTAAAATACATTTTAAGATTATTTACAACGTTTAAAGTATTTAAAATCTACTGAAGGAAATGTTTTTATGCACGTAAAACGTAAATAGAAAAAATAAAATATCTTCTGTGCATAAAAACATTATCATGAGTAGGTGTATTTTGAATGTTTTAAATGGGTGCAGACCAAGCAAATACAGACGTAGCAGTTTGATCTTTTATTCAAGCCGTTAAAATAAAATAAAAAAAGCTATTAAAAAATTAAGAAGAACGTAGTTATGAAATTTCCCTTCATTGGAAGTTTTAAATAGCTGCAGAAAAAGTCTGTCTCCCGAACCCCACAGCACTTCGTTTGGAATAAGAAAAGTCATGAAAGAAAAATAAAAGAGAATAGATACATTATAATTTCATTGCTTTGAATAAATTGTTTGTTAAATTATTTTACCCCACTTATTTCTTTTTATTTCACAGCCTCCGAATTCCAATCGGTACTATTTTGGTTAAGTTGTGTCAAAAATTATAACATTTTCATGATGGGTAAATTATACTTTGACGGGCACTTTCCCTGTCCGACACCCTTTCAACACTCTGCCTTGATAGAATGTGATAAAAAAGTAAAAACAATTTTATATTAAATAAAAATGAAAAAGATATTTGAGTGAATCCTGATCTCAGGGACATGATTTATTATTTTATTGTTAACTGTATCTTCCACCTTTAAGTCGGTCTTCTCCCTCAACCCTTACCCATCTATATCTAGATAGCACACGTTAAGTTAAGCGGCGTCTAAGCCTACACAGAGTGGGGTTAAGTATAAGGAATTGAAAATGGTACATCTAACTCACTCATATCATCTCCCCACCTCACTTCGTTAATTTCACATACGCTTGGTGCGGTCCGTCAAAAATCATGTAATGATGGATTTTTCATTTTCATTTCAACTTTTTTAAGTAAAAGTCTGATGATCCAGAGCTCTTTAAAAGGGTTGTGGTGAAATAACTTATTACATGGAACCTTAAAAAGTGATCTTTTTTACCAAAAACATATTTGCTCTGAATTTACATTGAGCTCTCTGGATATCATCCTTCTTGGATTACCTAGTTTTGCATAAACTATATATATATATATATATATATATATATATATATATATATATATATATATATATATATATAAAAGTGAACATAGAAGTCAACACTTAGAGGCGACAGTCTGTTTCATGCTATATGCAATCGTCAGGCAACATATGCTGTTATTTTTCTCGGCTATTTATATATATATAGGTTAAGTAGTGCATTATGGCTATTCTATTATGGCGGTTATTTTACCGGAAGTCCCTTTTTTTATTTATTTGGGTCAAATTATATTGCTCGTTTTTTCCATTTTTGTTTCTTATTTTATTTATTTATTTATTAACGTAGTAAAAATTTGTTTATATCACTTATTTAACAATCAAAATTTTTGGTTTGAGAATTTAATTAAAGCTATTTGTTCAATTTTGGGGTTGGTTGTTGTAGTTCATTCTAACTATTATTTTTGGCGGGAACAGTTTTTAATTTGGGATTGGTTTGTCTATTTATTTACTTGGATGAATTTAGGTCAATTTATTTGTATATTTTCTCATTTCGGTTTTTAAGCAACATAGTATTTTATTTATTTGTTTTATTTTATTTTATTTTTTTTGTTTTTTTTATTAGTGTATTTGTTTGTTTTTATTTTATTTTTTCCGTTTTTCATTTTTTAGGTTACGTAGTAAAAATTTATTTTCATGCCTGCATTTTGAGATGAGCTCGGATCTCTTATTTAATAATTTAAATTATCTACTCCTATGTATACTTTTTCTTCATTATCTGGTGATGAAACGGCCTTAAAAGATAGCGGATTCCCAGCAATACTCACCACAGAATACAAAAAAGACCAACAGGAGAAGAAATATCATATGGTTCAATACAAACCACACGAACAAATTAAACCCACGATGCAACTGCAGAATAAAGAACGAATGTTTTTAAACGGAAATTGTTTACAAAACAACGTAATATACCAAGCCACGATAAAATCACCAGATAATGAAAAAAAGTATACATAGGTCTTTTTTAACTGAAGGACCCTGGAAGCAAAGAAATTATACATATACAAAACATCGTTCACAAATAGTAAATATGCGAACAGTACTATGCTTTCTAAGTATATCTGGGTAAGAAAAAAAACAAAACGCACATCACACAAAAATATCTTGGAAGATAAGAAAAAAAGTCATCAGCCTACAACAACCAATCAAAAAACTTGCAAACTTTGCTTGGAGGAAAAAATAGCTATCATTACTTTCCCCGACCAAAATAAATTATTAAATAAGAGATCCGAGCTCATCTCAAAATGCAGGCATGAAAATAATTTTTTACTACGTAACCTAAAAAATGAAAAACGGAAAAAATAAAATAAAAACAAACAAATACACTAATAAAAAAAAAATAAAACAAATAAATAAAACAAATAAATAAAATACTATTGTTGTGTACGATACACCTAATTTACATAAGTGGAGTACCGACCATATAAATATGGGTTGGTACCGGAAGACGGAGATTGTAAGAAGAGATCGAATCCAGAGACTCTGCCCGACTGCGATTTAGTCAACCCATTATGCAGGAACAGTCTTCCCAAGAATATACCAAAACTAACTGTAAATATTGTGTACCTTTTCCTTGTTTCAATACATTTTGTTAACGTACATTTTGTGTTGTATTATTATTATTCCATGCTTATCCAAGTTTCAACAATGGCGACGAGATATAAAGAACTTTACGTTACGGAAAAAAAAAGAATTAATAATTGATAGCCTTCAACAATTGGGACAAGTGGAAGAACCCAGGCTGAAAAAAAAAAAAAAATCATTAATTAAAAGTCGAACATCTAATGGAACGGAAAAGTATTCTGAAGTTTGGACAGTTAAAACTAGTTAAAGGACGACTAAGCTTAAAGGAACGTTCACTCAGAAAAATCTGGAAGGTGGCGTAAACAAATAACGGCGAAAAAAAAAAAAATGCTGGCCGACTGAAAAAAAAAAAAAAAAAAGCTGGCCGACTAAAAAAAACATGCATGGAATTAAAAGGAGCACAAATACAACGTGTCGACTTTGAAAGGTAAGCGAACTTGTAAAAAAAAAAAAATTGTTATTTTTTGTTTGTTTGGTTGCTCAACAATATTTTATAAAGCAAGACATAAAATTAAAAAAATATCGTAAGTTGTTTCGATTTTTTGACTGCTTATAGTATATTCGTGGATACACAATTTAAAAGTATATTCTTTGTTGCATGAACACTATCAGCTAAAGATGGAGGAATTATCCAAAGTCATAGATGAATTGTTTAAAGCCCAACAGTTGAGTCAAGCTGAGTTAGTCAAATCCCAGCAGTTGAGTCTGCAACAACAAAGTAAAGAGTTTGCCTTATTAAAGAGAACAGCAATTAGCACAGCAGAATTATCAAGAAAGGCAAGAGGAGTTGAGTCAGCAACGTAAAAAGGGAACAGGAAGAAATGTATATATGTCAATGTTTTGGAAATTCAAAAGTTAACATTGGAGAAATTAAACAACATTCAGGCAAATGAAAGTAACTCTTCATATTCTAATAACATCATATTTAATTCGTTGGAAACTTTCAACTATGTGCCAGACGAAGGAAAAACGTTTGAAGCGTACTTTTAAACGATATGAAGATATTTTCCACACAGACTGTGAAAACTGGTCGAATTCAAGAAAAATCAGTCTATTACTAAGAAAGCTAGGTACATCGGAACATAGC